TAGACACGTGATGTGCTACTTTTCTTCATTCAAAACACATTTTTGTGTTCTGTATTCGGGCACCATCTACCCGTCTGAATGTATGGTGAAGATTGTGCACAGAATAATACTCTACCTGTGATTCCCCAACGGTTGTATCACAGGTTCTATGTCGTATTCCCTAAATTCTCATATGGTATAAGGAATATAAGAATGGATAAGTGAGTGAAATCTTATTTCTAATAGTATATTATTCAACGAGCGGTAATGTAGGTCATAACTCACGCAGATGAAGTTTGCAGCACGAGCCACAGGCGAGTGCTGTAATTCATCAAGTGAGTTATGACCATTACCGCATGTTGAATACTATACTTTATCTACGACTATTACAATAAATACTAAGTTACAAGTACAGAGAAAGAACTTTATTGACAAATCTTAATATACTTAATACAAATTTTAGATTTAATCACTCATTTTGTTTATTGAAAAAATTAACTGTGAAGTTTGAACAACCAGTAAACTCAATATGTTTATGGAAGTTTATTGTTTCTTTTTGTGTTTGTTGCATAGATGTTGTTGATGTACTAACTGATTGAGCTGTTATAGAACTGTATATTTCATTTGCAGTATCTGTCTTATTCTTTTCGGAATCATCAACGTACCCCTCAGCCACAGTAGTTGATCGCCAACCGCCATGGCGTTTCAGTGCCGTACGGCATCTACTAATAAAGTTGCCGACGAGCGGCGAAAACAATGCCCTGTATATAAATTACAGTCTGGTAATTTCAGAAATGTGGCAATGTCTTTCCCCATTGCTCCAAATTTATCAATGCCATTCTTTGTGAGTGATATTTTCCATATGGAAATTTAAATGATAATCCATCTTCACTATCTGAATTCATCAAAAAAATCACAATAATTGTATCAGCCTAGTTTGAAAACGTCAAACTTATTCAATTGACATCACTCCCCTCAATTACAATAATGGACTGTTCCCTTTCGGCCAACTGGCTCGTACAGAAGTACTGAGCCATCTTGATATTCGGTTCGTAAATAATTCCTAGAGCCTTTCCCGATGTAAGTATTATAGTGAGTTATAGTAGCGAGAGTTATTATAACTCACGCTGTTTGTTTACAGATACTATTAATTGTACAAAGGCAGTTGAATCATTGATATATAATTTAATAGGAGTAGATAAAACTATTTTATTTATAGTCATAGTATCATTCCAACGGTTGACTTTGCCACTCATAATTACTGACGTCACAACTCAGTGAGTGAAACAAATCTATAATCATGATTCATTGCGGTCTTATACTTTGTGCGACTTTGTGGTAAGATTAAGAGGTTCCCAGCGAGCACAAACATCCCTGGGATGTTTTGGGATGTTTTGAAAATGTTGGCATGAAGATGTTATTTTGAGACGTAATATGCACTGACCAAAGAGGTCTTAGAAGGATATTGAAAGTATTGATTTTCTTCTTTTGTGCCCTTTCTTTGTTTGCCCCACCACAACGTCTCATGCTTACGTCACAATACGATGAATTCTGATTTGTTTTCGATTTTGTTCTTCTTGTTCGCAATTGGCATTCGCGTTTGCAGCGTGTCACGCTTACATAACGCTGCTAACGAACAGAAAGGAATTTGGAGAAGTTTATTGCGTTAGAAGACTTATTTAGTTTGTAATAATGACCATCAGATGCAAGATGTGTTGTTCGGTGCCTCAGTGTAATCAATATATAAAAGTACGAATTCATCAATACACAGCTTCTCCGCAGTTACAAAATTATGCATTGTGGAGAACATTTCAAAAATTGGGAAACCTATTTCCAATTATATGTCTATGTGTGGTAAGCACTACTCAGAAACCGATTAAGAAGGTTATTTCATATCAAGAAAATATTTTTATGTTCAATCTATTTTTAATGCATTTTTTCATTCAAGGAAAATGGAATCCTAATGCAAAAGTTCATTTCGACAAAAGGCTTCAGAAAAGTACCTCGAAAATGTTTTTTTTGCAGCGATTTAATGTGCGCAAGACGCGTTGAAAATGTTTTGTCGTGTCCATGAAAAGGCTTTAAAAAGAACAAGGGAGAAGGTAGTTTTGTGACATCAAGGACATCTCGATAATTGCCGCCTGCGGCGGACATTGGCTGTTCTATAATAGTTCTATTCATGTGTGAACAGAACATCGCAGTGGAGGTTCAATGTCTCGAAATCTCGTACTTTTAACATCTCTGAGATGTTTTTGTGCTCGCTGGGTTATAGCATCGGTAGTCGTTCGCTCAGTATGACATATATTGTGCTAATAGATGATAAGAGCATTCACATCAAAACTTGATCTTGACCAAAATTTTGATAGTAATCTAGTCGAACATTTGGCAACACCGTACTACTGCTATACTACAGGGTGTGCGAGTTATAACATACAAGATATCGTGTGCAGTGTTAGTTTCGATAACTGGAGCAGACCCTCACCAGAAAAAAATGATCCTACACGTGTTCATACAATTTACGTCTAGGGAGTGAGATGGTCACGAATTTAGATCAATCAGAAAGTGCAGAAGTGATGTTTTGTACACATTTCATTCAGAAATACAATGGTCTCTAGAACAACGTACTGAACTCAACTCCACATACTATCTTTTTGTTTATCGAAGTGGTTAATTGAAGATAGTAATTTACCTAAAAGTCAAAAGTGCGAAAAGTCACTATTTTTTCTACTAGCATGCGGAAAAAACCCAGAATTCCTCGTTTCTGCACTCATTCATTGTTGAGACTGAACCTTTCAACACGCTTAGCGGAGTTCGGCCAGAAATCGCGTGCGGAATAGCCACTTTACGCACCGGTTCAGTACACTATTTTTTTCTACTAGCGTGCGGAAAAAAAAACATTTCTTGTTCACTTCTCCGCACTAGTCCGGAAAAGTTACTCTTCCAACATTAAAATGAGTGCGGAGAAGTGGACTTTCCCACACGCTAGTAGGAAAAATATTGTTGAGGATGACATAGATGGACTTGCCAACAAAAGTCGAATCTACCGCCATATTAGCTGGATATGATAGACTATAGCTAGATTTGTGACTGCTACTCCCTAGGCGCAAGTGGTACTTATTTGGATAGAGCGTTTTCTGTCCTTACCAGCTGGTTTAGTAGGTGTTACATATAAATAAGTATAGTGATGAAAAAAATTCGACTTTCTAATAGAATTACTGAACAATGAGTGTTGTAAGACTACCGTTTATATCTTGGAGCACGGTTTCCGTGAAGTCCAATTGTAATAAAGTGACCATGAACTATAATAATTGTTGCAATTGTTATTTTAATTCATTCAAAAAGAGTACCTAACAGTTTCACAAGAATAATGGAAACGAGTTGAAAGAGTTTACCCAACAATACGAAGGATATTTCAGATTTGTTTGAGCTCATTGACTTTATGGAATAACATATTTTTTCCACCACTATACCTTGGACAGATATTTCTGCCTCGAAAAGTGATATACATGCAGCTTCGGTTAGTATTTTTCAGTAGGTTGCTTAATTTCTAATGGATGTATATGGAAACTTTGTTTATATCTTGCAGTTCAATGATTCATTGCTTAATCTCTGACTTTTTTGATATTCAAAAAACCCCATTCCGTCAAAAACGTATTCTTGAGAGCAAGAGTATTATTTCTCAGAAGGAAAAGAAAATTATCAAAATGCAGAAGGCCACCAGAAATGAAAAAAACCGAGTAATTGAAACTTATAACTTGGAGTAATTCGAAATTGAGTGAGTTATATAAGCTGACGAAAATATGCTTCGAAATTTTCCATCAACTTTAATCTTCCACCAGCTATTTGAATCATTGGTTAATAATGTAAAACTCGCAAATGACTTGATCATTACAAGTTTATAACTTGAATAAAAAATTTGAGAATTTCAATTTGCAGTATGTAATCAAAAATTTTCCTACTAATAACTTGCAGTATTTCGAAATTTCGCAACTTTTGCATTAGCAGTTTATAAAAATACGATTCATAAGTTCAGCGTTTTGAGTTTGATACAGGTCATTGAAGAATTTTAACTGACTGCAAATTATTGCAGCAGGTGTTTTGAAATTCCGCAATGTAAGTTTGAAGTTGCTGCATAATACCGGGTGACCAGTTATATTCTGACCCATTTCAAATGCTCATACCTCTGAAACCATTCAAGTTATCGTTGTGCGGTTTGAAGTAGTCTATTTTATTATTTCTCAAGCTTTTTTGAAAGGGTTCACCTTCTCACTTGAACTTCTGGTTCTACCGGAAACAAACAAACTATCATTCAGGTATAGGACAACTTTTTCATTTCACCGAATCACCCTGTATATTTTTGCACATTCAGAAAGACTGGTCTTTTCCCTTTCTAACAATGTATTACGAGTTTTGTTTCCCTGGAAAACTGTCAGAGTTATCACTCTTCGAAACAACTACTGAGATTATGCAATGTTATCAAAGTCGCCTTTGGAAATTCTGGTCACAACAGATGAAATAAATGCTAGATTAGATGTTTCAAATAAAGATCGAGCATTTGTACTCTTTTCGAGTTGAAAACATGTTTAATTTAACTGAAAATAATAAGTGTGTAGCAATTTTCGCCGAAACAAAACATTTTCAAATTACAAGAAGATCCAGTGAAAAATTCAATAAAAACTTTTTAGATACTGGACCAATTAATCGTAAGAAAAAGACCCCCAATAATGAGAATTGGCTCAACAATGCAATAGTAATCCTGGGTTTCATACAAGAAGACCATTCTTTCATCTACACGAAAAATTTCTGCCATCACAGGTATTCCGCAAAGAACAATTCACAAAATTATGTCCGAAGAATTAAGATTGTAATTCGCAAAAGTTCAAAATCATAAAGTCAACATTTCCACATCACCTCTTAAAATACCACCCGAAGCAGCAACAAACCGACAAAAAAGTGTATCTCCTCAAACAGCCAAAACTAAAATTGCCACAAACAAAAAATCACCCCGTACAAACACCCACCTGGCAAAGATCTCCTTCAGCTCGTGCTCAGAAACGAACTGGCCCAAATTGGCGACGAACAGCGTCGAGCAGGGCGCATTGCTCACTCCGATGCCCGGCTGAGAAGAAGAAGAGGAGCCGACTGGCGACGCCAGAGCCGGACTAGGCAGGAAGTGCGGCAACGAGGCGTGCACCGAGGTCAGCGCGGTCGGATGCTGCATCGTCATTTGGGGCTAGAATAAAAAAATTCGATGAATATTTGATCAGTAGTGCAAAATATTGCGCCCAAGGAGCTTGTCATTACTAACAGGACTATCATTTTACTAGCAGGACTTTTGTTTGACCTACAGGACCGTTGGTTAACTTCGAAGACTAACGTTTGACTGGTAGTATGTTAACTGTTTGACCTGAAGGACTGCCCACTGACCTACAGAACTATCATTTGACCAACGATTAAAGTTTGATTTAAGGACTGTTACAAGAACTACATGACTGTATTCTGACCTACAAGACAACAGTTTAACTCACTGTCTTTGAAGCTATATAGGACTGTCGTTTGCCTTACAGTACTACAGTTTGACCGCTGTAAGATCTACAAGACTGTATTCTGACATACAGGACAACAGTTGAACTCGAAACAATCATTCATTTTTATTTTATGGAAAGGAGGAGAGAAAATCCCAAAAAATCAAGTAAAATGAATATACCACCTCCTCGATTAATTTACAGACAGTATTTAATTATTTATTGACCTAGATATGACTACATCTGGAGCTGTAGGACTGTAGTTTGTCTACAGAACTACTGTTTGACTTGAAGAATTATCTTATTTCGACTTGAAGGGCTATCTTTCGACCTACAGGATTGATGTTTGATTTTGAAAGAATGAAGTTTTACTAACAGGGCTACCGTTCGACTAAAAGGACTGTTCTTTGACCTACAAGACTGGAAATTGAATTCGATTGACTCACAATCAGCCGTTAAAGTAATAAGCTGTCATTTGTCCGGCGAACTCTCGTTTGTCGTTTGACTTACAGGGCTGTTGTTTGACCTTCAAGCTGTCGTTTGAGTAATGAACTGTAGATTGACTTGAAAGCAGCTGTTTAAGTAACAAGCTGCCTGTTAGTCTGACGAACTCTCGTTTGCCCTTTAACTTATGAGGTTGTCGGTCGTATAACTAGAAGCTGTCGCTTGACCTAAAAGCTGTCAATTGGCTTACATGCAGCCGATTGAGTAACTTGCTGTCGATCGACCTACAGGTTGTCGTTTGAATAATGAGTTCTTATTGATTGATATGCCTACAATCAGCCGTTCAGGTAACAAGCAGTCGTTTGTCAGGCATACTCTCGTTTGATTTACAGGGCTGCCGTTTAAGCCACAAGCTGTAGTTCGACCTTCAATCGGTCGTTTGAGTAATGAAGCTGTCGTTTGTTGACCTACAAGATGTCGATTGAATTAAATCAAGCCTTCGTTTGAGTAATGAATTGTCGCTCACACGCTGTCGTTTGATCTACAAGCTATTGTTTGATCATCGAGCCGTCGTTTGAGTAATAAACTGTCGCTCACAAGCTGTCGTTTGACCTACAAGCTGTCGATTGACTTACAAGCAGCCAATTTAGCAACAAGCTGTCGTTTGACCTACAAGCTGTGGTTCAACTTACAAGCAGATGTTCAACCACCGAACGAATACGAACAAAAAGACAGATACTCACGTGATGATGTTGCTGCTGCTGCTGGTGGTGGTGGTGCATCTGAGCATCCAGAGCCTTAGGGTGATCGGTGGATAGTCAGAGGTAGGAACGCACCGGCACCTGCGCCGGATGCAGCGCCGGGTGCACCAGGGTGGCGTGTTGGTGCATCCCCGCCCCCGGCATCTCGGCGGCGGCGGCAGCAGCGGCGGCGGCGGCGGCGCTGTAGGCCAGCGGGTGGTGCCACAGCTCCGGCCCGCCGGGGAAGAACGGCGTACCGAGGTCTGAAAGGTACACTTCGGGTTGTTAAAGTCGAGATCGGTTCTCGGGTCTGTCGGGGCGGGAAAGATGATATACAGGATGGTATATTTGAGTTATTGTAAAGGGTTATCAATCGAAAAGGTACAGTCAGACAAGTAGGCCCTCATGGGTTCTTTTTGCCAACCCTTGCTATCCACATATCTACACAACACATCCTCTTTCTAGTTGTCCTTTCTGAACCTCCCTGACCTTCTGATGGAGGTCAAGATGTACGTCCACTCTAATTCCACTAAATTCTCCTACTGTGATAGACCTACCTCTATATTTACCTTATTATTTCATCCAGAAAACACAAAAAATATGCGGGAGCTGAATGCTGCAATTGAATTTGAAACATAGGATACGTTTTACGTCATACAGTATGCCGACTGATTTTAAAAATGAACAGGAAAATAGTATTTCAGGGGTCAAGCCCTTCTTCGCTATACATAAGCTTTTTCTTACAAATTTCAATCGAATATAGCGAATTACAAAAAATGATTTCAAGTATTTCTCGATAACGGTGGCATCAGATGCATATAAATTACATTTACCCGTATGATGTTAATTTTCCTGTTTATTCATTCGAGAATATAAGAATGAAATAGTTATTTGTTTCACAAGGCAGGAAAGTAGTAGAGATACATCAGCATTAGTAGAAATAGATTTACATTTGCTGCCGTGTGGAATACATAATTTTTTCTCCAAATGTTATAAAACCAATTTTATGTAATTTTTTTTATTGAAAACTCCATCATTTTGTCTTCATCCAATGTCAGTGTCATTTTTGATTACCGCTTTCATTCAAATTTCTTGGAACGTTGAATAGCAACAAACTTTGTAACCTAGGCAGATGAAATGCAACTTTCCTGGCTGTTAAGTGTCAGCGAAAAACCACTTTTCCTACCGCTTGGAGAAAAAAGAGTATCCTGATTATTTATCATTTAACTACAATGATTTGACGTAGGGAAACGCAATGTACGTAAAGACCTCAGTTATATGACCCTGTAATATGCCGATTTGAGCTCATTCAAAGAAAGAAATAGAAGAAATAGTGTGTGTCGAAATTGGATTTTCACATTTCAATGATCACGAAGTTCTCATTGTGGGAAAACAATGCATAATAATTGAGATATTTCGTGAGAAACGGTGTTACTGGAACGAATTGCAACAATCGAGATATTATGAAAATGTACAAATCATGAAAGAACGAGCGTTCAAAAGATTGGATCAATTCAATGATACGTCTATAGTTATGAAAAAAAAAAACATTATTTGGTAAGTACATTTGAGAAGAAATAGATCCATTGTGATTGAATTCTATAGTAGATACTTGTGATTTGTCTTGATCAACAAAGAATTATAATACTATTGTTTTCAATTATTGGATTGTTTAATTCGCGAACTTCTTATCAATGTTGTCACCATTTTTCATGGAAATGTGTGGTTTGTGGTTGTGATTCTGGCAGCATCTCAGCGCCCTAGCAGTTGCTCGAATTCCGCTATGAGCTGTAGGTCCGACTCTTTCAAACTCCACACAAGCACCGAACAGAAACAGTTCGACTTCTGGGGAGCTGGTTTTGAACTTTGACTTAGCTACAGGTATACAAATTCCATAAGAAAATCAGCTTCAATTTTCATTATATTCATTATTATTTATGATATATGATATCGACAAGACATACGAGAAGAATCATAGGTCATCTCTATATATTTTGATACACAGTTAGCAATGTTGAATAACTAATAATACAATTTTCATGTGATTCTTTTATAATCATTCTTCTGAGGATTCTTCAGTTTTTTATAGAAATCTTTTGATTCTGCATGGTAAAAAATCTCGTTGAGTGGAGCTATCCATCAAAATAGAAATGCGCCATCAATTTCATCAAGAACTCATGTTTTGTTATATATTTATTCAATATTGCCTCGAACCTTCTTCAAACTCCTAAGACATTTTGGTTCAGTAGGTATAATTTAAATATTTGTGGACCTGGACTGACACCGAATCATTGTGTGGACTTGCATTTAACTGGAAAATCCTTATCCTGTGAAGACATTGTATGAAAAAAAAAATTCCAATACCTACCTCCTGTCCCTATCCTCCCTAGGAACGCACGATGTTCTTTGAACATTATAGGGATTTCCTTTCGTGCGCTCCAAGCGATAAAAAAAGAAAATGGTATTCTTATTCAACCAGATGATCGCCAGATAACTACTTAAATGAAAGAATTAAGCACAAATTACAGGTTGTTCAAAATAGTTGTATGTTATTTCCGAATACAAATATCAAAAGGAGAGATCATATTTCACAATTTTTTTCTAATAGAAGTATTCTGAAAGTTGATGGTAGATTCGCTCTGCTCTATGGTTTCATAATTTATAATGTGATCACTCAAAATACACCACTTTATCTGTATAACATGCTCCATTCAAGATCCACTGAACATTCCGTGAACATAGACGACTACTCGATGCCTAGACGCAAAGAAAAAGCCTGTAAGAAATACTAGCATAAAAGTGAATTTCACTGGTAAAAACAGTTGATATATGGACAGACAGTCCTCCCAGTAAACTTTACTATTCAGTTCAAGTGAAACTATTCAAGGCACTGGCTACACGATGTGATAGTACCCTTAATTAGAAACGGAGGAAATTCTTTACCCTTCGAACTTTATGAATACTCACAATGAGGAACAGTAAATCAAACGATGCACAAATACTGCGGCTGAACATAATGCAGCTGTAATATTCGCTCTTCCGTACACTGTAATGAACTTCATACAATGTAATCACACTTACCATGAGAAAAAGTTATGATTCACATCCACTTCTTCACTATCGGAAATAGTATACTCGGATCAATATTGGATAGTTTTTTTTACTATAATGACTTAGTATTTATTATTATCGTGGATATTATAACCACTCATGCTTATTTCAGTAGTATTTACTATAGGACATATTAATAGAAACTATAGGAGTCAGCATAACATATTACTATTCTTGTTATAGTGTAGTTAACTGCACGTACATTTCGTAGTATATGAGGTACAGTCAGATGCAATGAACATGTGTAGCACTTGGGTAATGATAACACCTCTAGCCACTTCTATAATAAGAGCGCTTACATCATCCAACCGCGACTTGTTTTTTGCATCTGTCTGTAATGGATATAAATGAATACGGAATTAGTAAAAAGAATGAAACCACTATATACCTATAGAGTTCCTGATGAAGAGCCAATACAGATCCGAAAGCTCGAACAGAAACAAGAGTACACTTTGTTTTACTTTGACTGCATACCCGAAAGGATTTACAATTTCATCCATTTCACTAACTGTATGATGAAATCAATTTGTCATGGATTTAAACAAACATTGTCTTGACAAATTAGAATTAGATTCCAAAATTTTTTACACGGCGGTATACCTATATGTTCTCCTGCTGCTTTCGAGAAAATATCCTAACGAAAATCATCCAGTGAATCTATGACAATTGATTTCTTTCAAGGATATGTTTTTCTTCGTAACCTATATTAGAAAAATATTCTCTCTTAGAAACCGTTATCTTGTTGGGACATCTGGTATACAATATTCCAATATATATATATATATGAATAGAGTAATAAGCAGTTCAGTGTATCTCTGAAATAACATAAAATCAGTTGGAATTATTGTCTAGGACATTCAATTGGATTTGTATCTTTCATCAATTATTCATAGATGCAAATAGTTCACTGATGGCAAGAATCAGATTGATGAAGCAGGTAGGTACACAAAATTAAATTCTGTACTTTTTCTCGAACACTTCACATGATGTTTATTTGGAATTAAAAAAAATGGAACATAACAATAAAACATAACAGAACATATACTCCTTTCTTAAACATATAAATATTATGTTTGTACTATGTAATAGGGTGGCCACTTTTCTTATGGGATTTTATTGGTAATTTCCAAACCATATACTAGTTAGAAGGTCGGTTAAATGGAGAAAAAGTTGCGTATCAGAAACCATCATCTAGCGGTGAAAACTAATCGTCATATCTCAAGAACTGGCACTGATATTTTCAATTCGTTTTCACCGCCGCTGGATGATGTTTCTTGATACGCAACTTTTTCTTCATGTAACCGACCTTCTTACTAGTACGGTTTGGAAGTTACCAATACAATCCCAATTAACAATGTGGACACACTGTATACCTACATATCAAATATATACATATACATATATATATATCAACAAAATGATAAGAATAAAACGACAAACATTTTGTTTCACAAAATACTTGAACAGAATAGTATCAAGTTTGATACCTAATTAATTATTCAACTCCTGTTGTAATGACTTGACAGATATAAACTCACCATCATAATCAGTAAAAATTTCATAAAATGATTGTTGCACAAATGTCCATACCATTTCACTCTCTGCAGGATATTTGGCATTGAATGCATAAAAACATTCAAAGCACAAATCGATAACTTTCAAAGGTGACTCCATTTCCCAGAGAATATCATTCACACTGACGAATGACTTCTATGTTGAGAATGCTTTTACCTACTAAAATAGGTATTGGCTGCATGGTAAGTTTGAGCTGACTGTATTTATTCCTTTTATACACCAAATTAGGTTGAATGTCCGCAATAATCTAAAAAAAAAGATGGGTAAGTGAATAATTGAATCCTATCATGGTAAGTATCATAACCAGTGGTATACATGGGCAGAACATACTTTTATTCAGGCAGTTTACGAAATTTGTCAGACCTACCCTTCATTCATCATGCTCATAGGGTAGTAATATAACAATCTACTATTGTATGTGTACGCGCAACATGCCATGATTATACATAAATGCATATAGTTTTTTGTGTTTATATTTTTATAATGAGTTATTTGAGAAACGTATTGTGAATTTTACATTTCGGTAAATAAGTTTTATATATGGGTATAATATATGAAGTTGCACACGAGAGAATAGTAAATTTTACCA